GAGAGAGAGAGAGAGAGAGAGAGAGAGAGAGAGAGAGCACCCGATACGTCGTGGATGATGCCCGAAGTGGCCCCGAGGATGTTTCAGGAATATCGAGGACGTAATTATCCCGTAATTACCGAGCGCGGTCTTGACTCTTGAGCAGCTCTACGTCTCGGCGGTTATCTGAGTGGGGGTAGTCAGTGGTTGGCCTTGTGCGGTAATTGTACTAATTATTACTGCCCTTCCCCCCTCGCCCCCGCGCCCGTGCCCCCATGTACCGCCGGGTTTTCTCCCTCCTCCCCCGGTCGCCCAATTACCCCCGGTGGCCCGCGCGAAAGAAGCCAGAAGTCCAGGACTCTTGCGGAGATTTCAGAACCTCGTTTCTTGGAAAAAAAATCTTTGTTAGCGCCCGGGATGCCCGCGGGCCGTCGTAAAATTGACGGTGGGAGGTTTCTGGGAAATCGTAATTAATTTACGGCCGCATAAATTAGGGGTAATCGACAGGAGACTAGGCATGCGAGTGCAAGACGAAGCACCGATATAATTGCGCGTTAAATTTTACACTGTCACGTGATTACAAAGAATAAAGAAGCACGGTACACGTAACTGCATATCTTTGCAAAAAGAAAAAAAAATGTGCAGCTTTTTTAATTGTCGTAATGTTAATAATCTTCAAAAATTATTTATAATTAATCTATGGTTTCTTACAGAGTTTCTAATTCAAATTATTTTGCTTTTATTTACTTCTTTATTTTAAATCAAATAAAAATTTTGATCTAATTAAGAACTAGTTAAAACAATAACATTGTTCGATAAATTTTTTTGCCTCTTTGGTGCCATTTTTTTTTAATTGTGATGTGATAAACAAATTTAATCAACAGATTCATGTTTAGCAGGGAAAAATACATCAGATTATTTATAATCTGTTTCGTGTCGAAAAATGGTGTTGGAATAATGTAATTAGTAGAGTCGTCTATCATAAAATGTAATAAATGGCAAAAACTAACGCTAAAAATATTTAATAAATTAGTTCGTATTCCTTTCCTTTTTCTCTGGATACTTTCTATTACTGTGCGATTTTTATAAATAATTTATCGCGTTATTTATAAATTTTCATTTCTATCTTCAATTTGAAGTTCAAATCCAAGACATTTAGGTATTACATAAGTATTATGCCCGTGTCATATTACGTATTGGAGGTTGAAGATTGCGAATTAAAGATTAGAATTCGACCAATCAGACAATGTTAATTTTAATCGTATCGTTCTAATTGGCTGAATTCTAATCCTCGATTCGCAATCCTCCAATGCGTAGTACGACACAAGTATTAAAAATTCTCATGATTCATTTCACGGGCGTCTACGATTCCGAGACCCTGAGATCAGTGACGTGACGAGTGACCCCAGGCGGTGACCTGAGAAGCGACGCGTGGCGCGCGACGAGAAGTAAACACAGCCGTGCGACTCTGACAGAACTGAACGTTGAACGAAGATGCACGCTCTCTCTCTCTCTCGTCTAATCTCGACGAGATGATGGCCACATGATTTGACACTCACGTGGCATCTCTACGACATGTCGTACTGTTTTGAGGGTACAATCAAGAGAAAAAATAATTATCGTGTTTTAAAATAAAATATATCGTGAGATATATCACGAAAACGCGAAGGGCAACGTACTTATTATCGAACGTCGCGCTCAGCCGCTCACCTTGCGTTTGTCATACGCCGCCAGCCACTCGTCAGCTTTCCGTTTGTCGTAGAGCACCCTGGCGAGGCTGCCGTGCGGCCGGTAACTCCGCACGGCTCGACTCACGGCCTCATCGCCGACGGTGACGTTGCAGGTGGTGTCCTGACAGCCGTACGCACACCTGACTACATGGGCCTCGTCCGCGCCCGCCATGCCGCGTCCGACCGACACGTCGTCGGTCACTCGGTTACTACGCCACGCATTATCGCGTGCGGCTCGTCACGTCTCTCGTCGTGAATCACCACCGCGCGCGTGGCCGTCGTATCAACATTCTCCGGAACGCGAAGCCAAGCCACACCGGCCACGGCCGTAAATCGGATACCCTGCCGTCGCGTAAACACCGTACGTTCAGCACGTGGCCATATTGTCGACGGTGGCGCCGTGCGACGCGAAGCGGCTCGCGACTGAAATTCATACCCCCGCGGCCGCCGCGTCGGTAAATTACCGACCGAAACGTAGTCGATGCTCGTCTGTTGTCTCGTCAGATATGTTGCGGGGCGGGGGAGGGGGTGTCACGCGATGCTGCAAACGCTTTGAAGCGTTTTTTAATTGGTCGGTTTGTAAAATTCTATCTTCTAATTGGTCCATCAAACGTTTCAAAGCATTTGTAACGAAACTGACCACAGTCATGGACGTATGTGGACGTGTTCGTGTCATCGATTCGCAACTCGCAACGTTCAGGTTCTCGTCACGCAACAGCAATTAATTTACAAGAGGTATGTATGTTTCTGAATGTATTATCGATTATAACAACGAGAACCGAGTATTGCACTGTATAGAGAGCTTATTTCCATATCGTTGCAATCAAATGATCGCAACCTTTTTTCGTCAAACGAGAGACAAAAAAAAAGAGGAATAATTTTATCAAGTCAAATCATTCGATGAGTCTTGTAACTGTGTCGCCGATATTGTTTCGTACTGAAAGTACGTAAAGTGACGAAAATTTTCAAGGGATCGTACCCGAAAGTATCATATGGTTTACATACCCCTCCGTATCTTTTATCGTCCAACATCTCTCCGACGGAGAAAACCACCAAGGGAAGTATGAAACTTTTAGGCGGGATAAATATGGCGGAGGGAGAGGTCTGGGTGCACCAGTGCGCACTCGATGAATATTTTAGGTGCCACATTGACGCATCACGTTCTCTCTCTCTCTCTCTCTCTCTCTCTCTCTCTCTCTCTCTCGCGCGCGCGCGCACCCGGTCTGATAATTCATTAATTTATGATAAGCTCGACCACGCCGCCCACGGGCCATGCATCCTCTCCCTCCCCTCGCTTGCCATAAATCATTTTCGCATCTGACGTTAATTGCACGCCACCCCTCGTTACCACGGAGAAATGAGATTTTTTTAATTGGCGAATTTTTCACCGCTGCTGACACCCTGGCACCCGCGCTCCTGTACATTCCCCGTTGTACAATGCGCGTCAAGGAAAGAAAGATCGGCAAGACGCGGGGTGCGTAATGGCTTTCTTAAATTTGACGATGATACGTCGGAAAGGCGTCCGTTATTTTGTAAGCCAGTCTTCTATATTACCAAGTATCGTTTCTTTTATCTTGACTTCATACCACGCTATTAGAATGATTTATTCCATGGATCTTCATAATTTTTCTCTTTTCTCTCAGTCTCTATTGTAATAACTATTAAATAATTTGTATCTAATAATTTGTATTTATATATTATTAAATAATTTCTAAATATTTTATATATAATATCATGTACAATTAAAAAATTGATGATCCGTCCAAATTTTGATGTTAATTTAACACGAGAGGAACGCATTAGAAAGTAACACAAATATTGTGTAAAAATTAACACAAAATTTAATATTATATTCTAACATAATTTGAAATCGAATTGTGGAAGTATATTTCTTTTAAAATTGAACATTTATATTATGTTATTTTATTAAATTAGTATACATTCATCCTCTCTCTTTTATTCCATTATCTTAGAGTTTACCTATTAAAACTATTATTTTTATGTTATTTGTTCTTTTACTCATATCAAATTATGTTATTGCAATACTGATAAATGTTAAACATCTATTTAATACAAAATACTCAAATAACATAATTATATTAAATTAACATTCGTTAATTTAAATTATTACGTAAATCGGGATAGACTAACAGAAATTTTCAAATTGCATAAAAGATTGAGATCATATGGTGTATTCAATCAAACATACAAAACGTATACTTTACTCTACGTTAAAAATTTAACAAAACATTTTAACAAGAATTGTAATACAAATATGAAATTTCTTTACTGTGTACTTTTAGATATCCTGATAGAAATGTATTTATGCAATTTTCCTTAGACACCTATTCAGTTACTATCTAATATTGTATTCTCATTAGTTGTGTCAATAATACTGAGTAGGAAATGGACAAGAACTTGATAGAGTTTTGTTCTATCCATTTCATGAGCAGGTGGTTTGCTTATTAATCAATTTAATATCTATTATTTGTTGTGTTTCTATTCAGTAACTGGATTCAGATTTTACACAACTTCTGTATGCAGTAATGTTTGTAAGCAAAGAGTTACATTCTGATTGGGATCCTAAGTAATTTTCCTTCTCAATTACTAGACAGAAGAACTAGACAGTGATATAATTGTTTAATAATTGCTCAAAAAATGAATTAAATTTCTATCAGGATAACATGTTAAATCAATTTTGATAAATGTAAGAAAATACACACCACGCATATATATAATTAACAAATCTATATTTACAGACGCAAGGCAAGCTTTTGAACCTGAAATAAAACTGCGTCATTCCTTACCTCGTGAATTTGTTTGGGCTATGCCTGACGTTCAGCGTCTAAACAACGTGCGGCACACGTGGCCTTGTGATGCATACCTGCATCTCCTAATCTTTTATTTGCCGAATTGGTGCCATTTCCCTACGTATATAATAAGACGAATCGAGAATTCGAGCATTAAAAGATTAATCGCGTAAAGGTGTTGGAATAACTTTGGAATGGGCAATGAATCTTATTTTCAATCGTGAACGCTGAGTGCTGCTTGACGTGGGTATAGGATTCCTTGAGCACGTAAAATACAAATCGCATTAGCAAGTCAAAATGCGCAAGTCTCTCTATCCTGCGTAGTTGTTCTATTTTGAGACATCGCGAACATTCCTACCTACGTAATCCTGGCGCTACGGAAGGGCCTTAACTCGATAAGTCCCCTCGGTACCTGAAGTGAGCTCATAATCGTGAACGAAGCGCGCAACCGCTTATTACAAGCGAGGGCATTGTAAATTTGCAGAGAAGCGGAGGGAGAAGCTTAGCGGTGAGAGCGACGGATGATGGTGAGAGTGAGAAAGAAAGATGTAAAGATCAGGCGAGGAAGGACAACAGGTACGTCAAGAAAGAAAGAAAGAAAGAGAGAAAGAAAGAAAATGACAGAGAGGGAGAGGGAGAGAGTGAGAGAGAGAGAAGAAAGAAAGGGGCTGAGGAGTCAGGGGAAGGTATAAGACGAGGGAGGCAAAGAGGAGTCGAAAGGACAAAGCGGCGCAAAACGTGCCCTTCAGGCATCTGAGGTCTTTCTTCAGCGTTGAAAATTTATCGTTCTGCAAGCGCCGGTGAGCAGAAAAATAGCGGGGGAGGAGAATAAGGACGGGTGGGAGGAAAAGCAGGAATTTAAGAAGCGGTTGGCGCGAAAATAAAATACGTCTTGCTATATTTATACGTTTCCATCAATGTAAAAACTCTAATTACGGTTCATCTTCTTCTAGGTCTAAAAAATGAAGAGCAGTTGGATCCAGATTAGAAAATGATGAAGAGCAGTTGGCTCCGGATTAAAGTTAATCTACATTGATTGATGGAGACGGGCATTATCCGGACAAATCCAGATTTTACCGAAAACCGGTGTTTAAGGTAATAAGGACACATTTTCTTCTTTTTTTTTAACCGCAGGCATAATTAACGGTACATATGCGTGTGGAAAGCGCTAATTAATCTCGACGCAAAGGTGCAAGCCGTTATTAAGGAGGTACGACGCTCGCTGTACAATCTCGCCGGTAATTACGCGGTTGAGATTCGCGTTTCGCGCGTGTGTCATAAGTGCGTGGCGAGTTGATGTCAGGGCGATACTTCGAAAGCGGTGAAACGAGTTAAATGTTCTAGGCGGGCCTCTCTTGGGAAATAATTTAATTATGCAAGGATAATGAAAGCAGAATAATGATAATTCGATGTTTAGTACGACGCATATTTCAGTCAAAGATGTTTCTTTGGGAATTGCCTCCATCGAGGGTATCGAGACTGAATTTTATGATAGAGACGTGACAATTTGTCTTGTATAAGATGGTCTTTAATGTTTAAGGCTGTGTTAATTTGTGATAATAATAAAATTGAATTGCTGGAGAACGATTATATACTTATACGTTTGAAATACTTGATGACTCTTCTTTTTCTCACGATCCTTCTCTTGTAGTAATATTTAATGAACTTTCATCTAACCCCCTTCATTATTTTTCTAAGCTGTCCAAAACATCCCTGCTTTATAAATCTAAATATGTGAATCCCAGAAAAAAAACGGACGATATTTATACACATTACTATATTTAGCGTAAATCGATTTATAATTAACAAAATGTTTGTATTTATTCTTATATACACTCAAATTTATATGATTTTGTTGATGAAGCTAAAAATTTAGCTAGATGCAAATTTGAAAGTAATTTTGTTTGAACTATCAAAATAATTGCTTGCTGGAAGGTTAAAACTTTTTGCATTGTCATCAACATTTAAATGTTCTACATAATTATTTTGATGATCCATCAAAATTATTTTAAAATGTATATCTAGTTAAATATTTAGATAATTCAAAATTGTTTTTTCTATATATATATAAAAGATATATACAATATTATATTATCAACTTCCACTTAATTATAAATCATCAAAGAGTACGTTGAAAATTAAGATATAATGTTGTAATGTTAGAAATACGTAAATAATAATGGGACTAATGAGTTAATTCTTTCACATTCTTTGCGTTGTAAAAATTGCTACAAACGGTATTGTTTCTCATTGTTTTTCATTCTCGCCAATACAGCTGTCTCTCGGCATCAATTAACTCGTATTCGCTGTACTCGCACAAACCCTGAAATTTCATGCATTTTTTGAGCAGTTACTAAACAGTTATATCAACTTCCGTCTAGTAACTGAGAAGGAAAACTACTTAGAATTCCAATCAGAATGTAACACTTTGCTTGCAGTTACTACATACAAAAGTTGCGTAAAATCTGAATCCATTTACTGAATAGAAACATAACAAATAATAAATATTAAATTGATTAATAAGCAATCCACCTGTTCATGAAATGGACAGAATAAAACTCTCAAGTTCTTGTCCATTTCCTATTCAGTATTGGCACAACTCATAAGAATACAATAATATTAGATAGTAACTGAATAGGTGTCTAGGAAATCTGCATACATTTCTACCAAGGAAAGCGTGTCTCGAAAAGCCTTATTTTAAAAAGACGTAGCTTCTTTGTTTTTCATTTCAGTAGAGTACACCTTTCCACTGAATGACGGTCGAGTTCGACGAATCCTCGGGAAATGA